ATTTCTCCAATCTGTTTATTTTTCACTAAAAGGTTTTTGAGTGAAGGTACTGGTTATTCGTGGAATTTTTAAGTTTTCGAGATTTGAATTTTTTAGGAATTTTTTGATTTTTGTTTTTTTTTTAAATTTCTTTGTTTTTTTTTGAATTTGCAAAACTTTTTTTGTTTTTTTCGAAACTTATAGTGAATTTTTAAAATTTGAAATTTGTAATAAACCTTGGGAAAAGATTTCTTTTTTTATAAATTTCTTTTTTTCTTAAAAAAATTTGGGAAAGAATTCCCATTATCTTACTAGAAACACTCCATCTCTTCGTTTTCTTTCTCGTTGCCACCATACAAAAGCAGTATGGATTTTCTGTTTTAGGTTGTTTATATCAGCGAACAGAAGAATTGCCGTGCAGCAGTGGGTATGTTGAAAGTGATGGCCGATGGCAATCGTAACTGGGCACTTTTTTCGCCAGGCGATTCACGCATGCCACGAATGATGATACCAGCGGAACAGGCACCTCCCGGTTTTTTCGATCGCCCCCAGGATTTCTCGAAATTCATCTACGTAGCACGTATGGTGGAATGGCAAGCAACAGCACAGTTTGCACGGGGGTAACCTCTTTTTGCATTCTGTTGTATTGTATTTTTGCTCCACTGACTTTGATTTTGTGAATTTGTCTCCAAGCTGCATTAGATTTTGTGATAAATCTTCATATTTTTTGATTTCAAAACTTTTTAAATCTCAATTTTCAATTTCAAATTTTTTTTAAGTTTCAGATTTTCTTCAAATTTTTAATTTCAAAGTTCCAAAAATTTTTGATTTCAAAATTGTCTGTATTAGATAAAGAACGGACAAAAATAAATCAAAATTAAAGATCAAATTATAAAAAGCTAAGGAAGTGTTTATATTTGCAGGAAATTATACAAGAGTTTGGGCTTGGCTGGTGATATTGAAGCAGAAACGGAAGGTTTACTTTTAGCGAATGATATCGATACGCGGGAATTCTCCTCCTCTGCATTATCATCACTTCCAATCACCGAAGCTTGCGAATGGAAAATCGATGAGGTTCATTTTTCGTTGCTTTTTTTCTAAATTCTTTTATTTTTTATTACTTTTCATTACATGATATCAGTGTTCATGATGCATTTATTCTCATGAATTTCGTGATTCTCATGAAAAGGGATTCTCTTCATCATTGCAACAGGTTTGTCCTTATATAATTTACGCTGTGTGTTCCTGTACCTCGCATTATGACTGTTTCTCTTCGTCACATTTAGCTACAGATACTGCACGATACATGTTTTTTTTTTTGTTTTTCAAACCGTCAGTTTCTTTGGTTTCTGAGATAATAATTTTCTCTGCCAGAACTTTCACGGGGCCATAGGTCTTATCGCAGGCACGAGAAAGCTGAATTTGAATTTGCTGAGTTATACGCGGGTGAGGAAAATTCTCCCAAATTTCCATCCTTTCATCCTGCATCGGACACACACACACCCACCCACACACACCCACCCACATGCACCGACCCATATACACATACACACACATACATAAGCACAAAACGCACAATAATGTAATTGTAAATGAAAGCGTGGAAATAAGAGTGCTACAGCAAAAATAGTTTACAATGAGAAAAATTTCTAAACAAATTTTGGCACACATAAAGATTATGAAAGTGGATTAATGTAATTAGGACTGATTAAGAATAAATTATTTATGAAACCGATGAAGTGTCAATAGTAATTTTAGTATTTTTATTTTTTTCCCGCATTTTAGTAAAAGTTATGCGTTTTAGTATAATATATTTAGAAATATGGTTTTAAAAGCGGAATTTTTTGCAGAAGGAATTCAAATACCGACGTGATTTTCGCAATGAAACTGTGTTTACAATCGATCCTGTGACAGCACGAGACATGGATGATGCCTTACATGTAAAAGCAATTGAGGACTGCGATGGCAATGGTAATCCTGGCTGGGAAGTAAGTTTGGAGGCAATAATGAGAAATTACGAAAAGGGCGAGGACAGTGTAACACAGTGGAACTTATTCACTCTCAGCTTTACCCGAGCATCAGCTTTGTAAATAGGGAAGCCCCCTACTGAAAATGAGTTTTTATAGGAAAATTTCCACTCGCATAGGCTCAGTTTTTTTTTCTTTGCGTTTATTCATAGGCCCATCCATTGTTTCCATAGACAATTGAAAACTTTGCAGCCACAAAAGCTGATATTGGCTGGGAGGGTAGCGCTACACCTACTGATGGGCATCACGTATCAGTGAGAGATGCTCAAAATGACCGCTGAAATGGTGTTGATACAGACGATGAGCGATAACTACTAGCTTAAGGGGGTGTTCAGAACGTTACGTTTAGAACATATTTTTTCGTAAGATTTTGAGCAACTAAACCGTAAAGTTTTGATGGTTTTCG